AGCAGCACGTTGAGAATCCAGCCCTAGCACCGATAAAAAATCTGCCCCGAACCCACCGAGGGCGCTGTGTTTACCGTGCTATCAAGCAACAGCCCTGCCCTGCCGCTGCTAAGCGGGCTCGTCATGGCGATTTTGATCCCCCGGAAGAGGCGATCACGGTGAAGGCCCGAGCCCGTACTAAGCAGGTCCGGCGGCTCCGCTCTTTCCAGAAGTCCCTTGGGGCCGCCCAAAAAAATGGCAGGGTCTGGTCTGTGGATGTGTCGCACCAGCTTGCACAGGAGTGGGCGGCCATTTGTCGTGCCAGCGGCTATGGACAGTCTTTTCAGCACTGGCTCTTGGCCATCGAGCATTTTCAGCATTTCTTTTCTCCCGAGCCGCTTCGGGTGTTTCAGGCCCCTCCCAACGATTGGCTCCAGGAGGTTATCGATGTGGTGACACATGACTGCTGTGCGCTGACCCGTCAAGAGGCCAAATACCGCCGCGACTTGTGCCGGTATCGGAACCGGCTTGATGAAGTAATGAATCATTCTCGTAAAGGTTATTGTGCCCTGAGACCCCACCCTCGTCCTCCTTTCACTGCAATCCCGGTCTCTGAAACACAGGAGGTCTGTCTTGAGGTGCGGATAGGGCCCCACGAGGCCTGGTATCGGGTGCCTGAGCCTGCTGCTTTTGATCGGGCTCTCCCATTGTCCTGTGTGCAGGGCCCGATTATGATCTTGGCAGCACGTGAGGATGAAATCGCCGGGCCACTGTTGCATTTTCACTTTGTGTCAGGGACGGAACCTCCGGAACAGACGGTTGTACATCAAGAAACGGAGGCTAGTACGGCCCCGGCGCTCAACCGACAGTTCATGCAATTCTGGCATCCCATATGGACGCGTGATCGTGGTGTTGCTGTGGGTGCTGACGCCTGGCAGGATTTCCTTGACCATCTCCCACCGGCCCCTGCGGAGTGTCAGGGTTTGGAGCTGGATTTACTTGATCTCGATTTGTGGCGTCAACACTCCCGCAAGCTGAAAGTCCGCAGCGCTACAGGCTATTGCGGGTTCTCGAATCGCGCCCTCAAATGGTTGCCTGACGGCCCCCTCTGGCACCTTGCCAAACTCTTTGACATGTGCCGCCGCTGCGGGTTCCCCGCGCATCTGGCCAAGGCTACGGTGCACACACTGGCCAAAGTGGACTTGCCCCAGGGCATGAAGGATGGACGGCCAATTACTGTGTTCTCCAACCTTTATCGGCTGTGGTCTTCCATTTGCTCCCGGAGCCTTCTTCGTGCATGGGCAGCGTGGTTGCCGTCTGCTGTTGCTGGATCTGTTCCCGGCAGAAGTGTGCGAGATGTATCGCTGACCATACAGACCCAGGTTGAGGCAGCCATTCTGGATCAGCGGCCATTGGCAGGGATAAGCGTCGATATCATTAAGTGTTTCAACCAGATTCCACGTGCACCTTTGGCGCATTTGCTCCGCCATCTGCGAGTCCCTGAATCGGTACTTCTTGTATGGCAGGATTTTCTGTCCAAGGCGTTGCGGCATGCAGTCTTTCTTGGAGAGGTCGGTTTGCCGACGGGCAGCACAACCGGTGTCCCGGAGGGCTGTCCTTTGAGTGTGTTGTGCATGGTTGCACTGCGCTGGTACCTGGCGGCGTTGAAAAGGCCTGCTGACCTTGAGCTCCACACGTACGTCGACAATCTCTCTTGGACGGCCAATCTCCAGTCATCTCTGCAATGTGCCCTCGAGACAACGTTACGGTTCTGCCGCAGTCTGAAACTGCCGATCGATTGGACCAAGAGTTTCGCATGGGCTACGGCCAATAAGTTGCGACGGTGGCTTCTGCATGATGCACAGGCTTCTATGCCTGCTGATGTTGCCCTTAAGGTTGTTGCCGGGGCTAAGGATTTGGGGATTCAGTTTCGCTTTCAGGCTAAGGGCCAGGCGGGTTCTGTTGCTAAGCGCCTTGACGAAGGCCGCCGGCGGCTGACTGCACTCCAAGGGCTGTGCCGCCCTCTTCTGAACAAGGCTCGGCTCATTCAGACATCAGTATGGCCAGCGGCACTGTATGGGATGGAAGGCTCCTTTGTCTCGGAATCAGCCGTGCAAAAGTTGCGCTCTGCTGCCGCACGGGCAATGCTAGGTGATCATAGTGCGATGTCGCCTACACTGGCACTGTCGGCCATCACTCCGACGGTTGATGACCCGGAAGTTTTCTTGCTGGCGCAGGCATTGTGTGCATTGCAGCGCCACTTGCAGTTGAACCCCCGTGTCGGGCAAGCATGGTTGTGCCGCGCGGTTGCCGCGTTGGACTCCGGAGTAAAGCGGGCCATCGGCCCAGCCACAGTCCTTGCTAGGTTGTTGAACCGCAACGGTTGGTCACTCAGCCTGTCTGGGATTGCCAAGGGACCAGGGCACTTGCAGCTTTCGCTTTTTTCCAGCACCCCACGGGCCATACGTGCTGCGGTCCGTCAGGCCTGGCGTGAGCTTGTTCCTGCGAGCATTGCCCATCGTAATGGCTTGGCCTTTGCTGAACCCCCTGCGCCTCAGGTTACTCACAAAGTGCTGCAGCAGTTTGATGAGGGTCTTCAGGTGCATTTGGCTCGTGTAGTGGTTGGGGCACTGTTGTCCGATGCTGCCAAGGCGAAGTGGGACCGACTCCAATCACCACTGTGCCCGTTTTGCGGAGACATGGATACAAAGCATCACCGATTGTTGCACTGTCCGGCTACAAGTGCGGCGCGGCGCCCTTTTGCGCCTTTGTTGCAGCTCCTGCAGGATGAATCGCCTGAATGGTTCCATTGTCCGTTTCCTGGCGGCCACAGATCTGAACCCTTTCTGCGCCTGTTGTGGAACAGTCGTACGATTGTAGCCCCACAGCGCTCTGAGTTGCACATCCCCTCGCTTGAGCTGGCTGGTGAACTTCACCTTTTCACAGATGGTACCTGCGCACACCCTACATGTCCGGAAGCCCGTCATGCTGCATGGGCGGTACTTGTCTACACTGGACCGTGGCCATTTGAACCAGAGTGGTTACAAGTCCAATGGCAACAACGCAACAATCTTGCAGCCTGCTTTACTGTGGTGGCACAGGGTGTGGTTCCTGGCCAACAAACCATCTCGCGTGCAGAAGTGCTGGCGCTGTGTCAAGCCGCATGGGTGGCGCAGAGTTTTGACTGTGAGAAGCCTACAACGTGGAGTGATTCTCAGACTGCATTGAAACTGGCGCGGGAGTTGAAGCTGAATGTGGCCGACAGGATCCACTTAGCATCGGACCTGGTCCAGTCAGTTCCTGAGAAGCTTTTTCATGGCATGCAGCTCCGGAAGATTGCGGCTCATGAACAGGTTCAGGATGTTCCCCGAGAACTTGTTTTGCCGACGGTTGGCAATCACCTCGCCGACGCTGCAGCAAAGGCGGCCCGCCAATACGACATACCCGTTGCTACAGAAACTTGTTCTGAAGTTGCTGCACATTATCTGGAACAGCATGACCGCTTCCTCGCCTACTGTCAGTACCAGGCTGAGCTGCTGAAAATTGTTAAACCCCTTCGTACGGCGGCACACCGCGAGCAGCAGCTTGCCTATGCGCCCGAAGAATTGACATTTTCAGCGATATCTGCCAGGTGGAACAGTCTGCAAGCGATACCTGCAGGTCAAGAGCACGAATGTGCTGTGATGACGTCGGTGTCAGAGTGCAGGGATTATACCGATGCAATTCAGCGGTGGTGTAATTTGCTTGCGTGGCCATCTGACATACCACAGACACATGGATACATTGGCATCACTTTTCTTGAGCTCATGTTCAATTTCATCATGTGTACGGGCATGCTGCCTCGTCTTGGCGCAAGCCGTACACAGGATGGAGTTGATCTTTTGTCATCTCAAGGGATTCTACAGCCAGTGGTGTTGCGCGATTTGGTCGTCGCATTTGTTGCTTTTGTCCGCTGGAGAGAGAAGGCGGAACATTGCATACTGTTCGACAGCCCGCCGCACCGACGTATTCGAAGTCTGGAGTTTGTGGGTTTCGGCACCGCTCGCAAAGGGTTGCTCAAACGACCAGCTCTGCCCCGTTATGGTGAAACCATTCGGTGCGCTCATGCGGTCTTGACTAGTCAGTCTCCCGGTGAAACACTGAGGGACTTTGCTCTTCAAGTTGCTCGGGAACGGTAAGACACTGTGACCGCGAAGGACTTTGGCGGCCTGGACTTGCGAGAGATGCGGTGTCGCTGCTTCGAGGCTGGCCCGCATTCTCTCTTCAGAACCCGTTAAAGGTTCAGGGTTGCGGGTTCAGGGTTCAGCGTGCGCACCATGAAAGAGGATGGAGGGGAGGAGGTGGGAGGAGAAGGGGGAGGAGAGCGAGGGAGGGTCGCCGAGGTAACCAAAGATCCAAATCTGACGACACTGCAGCATTTTGTAGGGGCAGAGACTGAGAAGTCACAAGCGACACCGGCACAAAAGTCACAAGTGACACCCGATAGAAGTCACAAGCGACCCCTCTACCCTGACAAACAGGCCCTCGGCTTGAGTAGGTTAGTCCGGTTTGGACCTTGCCTGCCTGCTTGGTTTCGCCGGTTTAAGCGACTGCCCCACCCGGCTCTCCCTGCTCTGCTCGTGCCCACTCAATTGTTAAGGATGATGGATGATGATGGTGTGCAGAAGAAAATACCTGAGCTGTTTCATCGAATGCTGAGGTTGAGCTAGCAAGTGGTGACTGGGGACTCGTGTGTTCGGTTTGGAGCGCTACACTACGGTCGAATGTTGGCTCTGTCAAAACTACCACAATGCGGTGGTCACCGTGCCTGCAATTGACGCGGATTGGGACTTAAGCTAGTGCTGCGAACTTGCTTTGACAGCGCTTCCATGCTACAGTACAACTTCACAAGCCCCAACACCTGCTGCACTAATCTCGCCACTCTGAAGTTTTGAAGATGAACAAGGAGCCACTGCGAGGCGAAATGTGACAGGCCAGTGATCAAACTGTTGGCGGGAGTGGTCTAGAGCCGAGCCCCCGGCCAGCCCATCACCAGCTCCGGATTCGAGTGCAGCTGCAAGAAGGGGTCGACTTCCACAGGGGCAGGGAAGTGACTGTCGCCTCTCTGGTGGAACGCCGGCGCAAGTCACCACAGCTTTAGGATGGCGTGGAGTTACCACATTTGACCGAGGCTATCGCTGTCCAGGGACCAGAGGTAATCGAAGCCGTCGAGGGCTTCGTGGTGAAACACCGGGCCTGGCTCTTGGGTTATTGTTCGCAGATCGGACCAGATCTGCATTCTCAGTCTCAGGATTGTGCTGTCACTGACAGGCCTCGTGCCCTGAATTGTACTCAGAGTATCAATATGCTTCGGCTGCTCCCGGCTGAAACCATAGGTTCAATTCTAGGAAGGACACATCAAAGCGGCAGCTCGGGGACCAGCAGTCTGGGCAACACGAGCCGGAACCCCACTTCCCCAGCAGCAGGGCCTGAACGGAATCTGGACTGAGCCATGTATCCTGCACTCGAGGCATGCTGCTGTGCGGACTGGCACCGACGGCGGAATCCCATCCCATGCCCATAGCTGCAAGACCCAAAGCCCAAACGCTGGAGGCCCCACCCCTCTCTGCGCCCTGGCTCCTGCTCCGAAGTTGCTGTGGAGCGCGTGCTGCGCCTCGCTGGGGACCCAGTTCCCCACCGAGAAGAACCTGAAGAATCAAAGGCCGAAAGAGCTGGGTTCAGAGATTTGTTCAGGTTTGTTGGAGCATGCGCTGGGCACCCGGCCAAATGCGCTGTCCGGGCGTCTTCGCCACGATGCTCTCGCGGGTCTTGGGGCTCAAGCCATCATGGAAAATGAGGACTGGGTAGTCGAAGCGCTCGTTGAAGTGCATCCAGAGGCCTCGATAAAGACAGGTTTGGAGGAGGCCCTGAAAAACAACCGGCATTCTGGGTGCCAAACTTTCGATACTGAACAGCAACTCCTTCAAGTGCTCAGCGTCCTTGCAAGACATCGCTGTGATACATCCCGCTGTCAAGTGTGCTACAGGCGAAAACACTCAGCTTTGAGGGTCCTCGTTCACCACATAGTGCACAGCGGCCTGCCCAGAAGCCAAGTACCGCAAAACGTTGGAGCACCCTGGGTTGTGCACCCGATATGCAAGGCTGCGATTCGACTGCCAAAGCCCCCGAAAGAGCCCTTGGAGGATCTTGGATTCGCCAGCTCGTCTCTCCAGCCGAGACACACGGTATGGTCGCGCTTCGTCCTGTCCCGTGCGTAGTGCGTAAAATGAAGTGCTTAATGCTGTAAGATGTCCGCTGCTTTTTCATGCAATTGACATCGCTAGACTTCATGTCGTAACGACCGACATACACAAAAACGCGCAACTGTTCATACCTTTTCCTTCATTCTGTAGCTCGATTCTGAAAAGCTTGATGATTGCCGCGGTCACGACGTATCATCATCACAATCTCAAACAAGACATGTACTCCGGCTACTCGACAACTTCAAAACCATTCGAGATGACCGTTGAATCAATAAAGCGCTTCAACGTGGGCCCGGGCTCAGACGTGAAAACGAGCATAACAGAATCGTTGGCGAACGCAGTTTCGACAAAGAGACACGTCAAGCTTTGAGCAGCAGCAGCAGCAGCAGCAGCAGCAGCAGCAGCAGCAGCAGCAGCAGCAGCAGCAGCAGCAGCAGCATGAAGCGAGGGTTCGACACTTATGTCAACGCGCAAGGAAACCTCACCGGTGTCCTGCGTGCTTGGATCCGCGTCCTGCAGCGGCTTGAAAAATCTTCGGGGTCTGAAAAACAAGCAGGCCGAAAGGCATCCGGGGAGGCTCAAGCACCACCTGCTGCTGCTGCTGCTGCTGCTGCTGCTGCTACTGCTGCCGCGTCTGATTACAACGACAATGACAAACGACAACTACGACGTCAGCTAGGTTGCTGCGACTGCGACTGCTGCTGGCTCCTCTCTACTTCGTATTGCATGAAGTCCTGGCCTGGCACCAGGGACCGCGGTAGGGAACCGGGCAATCGGCGCCGTGGCTGCCGCCGGCCTTTGGTCAGTTCTGTACATGTTTGGGCGAGGCTTCAAGCTGTCGAAGAGGACGCGGCCTCGGAAGGCGATCTTTGAGGTAGAACTAAGCCCAATGGGTCCCGCCTTCTCTGCCCTCGCCCAGAAACGCCGGAGTGTGGGCCTTTGGTATGGCAGCAGACCAAACGATCTGCAAATGCCGCAGGCACGGGCAAGGTTTGCAATCATTGATATCCCACGAGTATGGCCCTGATCACAAACCTTTCGAATTTAATCGCGGGCCCTACCTGCCATCCCAGAACTGCTCAGAAACCCCTCCATCCTCATCGCAAACATCGCAGATCAAGAGGCAGAGCTTCCTTCGCGGCCTCGGCCTCGGCGCAGCCTTGGGCACCCGAGGCCTCGCTGGCCTTCCGCCACCCAAAAGGATCGGGGGATTTGGCAAGGAAGATGGACTTGGTGTTGTCAATCAGAACTGAATCAAAACTGTCATCCTTGGGTCCCTCTGCCGAATGCCCTATAGAAATCGTAACGATTCCGTGAATCAACCCCTTAGTAGCATGACCCTAAACCTGACTCTGCTCTTGGAGTCTCGAGGCCTCCAAGCCCATGAGGTACCGAGAGAGCGGCGAGCAAAACCAGCCCAGCCGCCACTCCTCGAACTCCTCGTCGAGACGGGGCAGAGGCTTTAAGATACGATTCTTGGCATGGGCTGAAAGGCTTAGAGGTTCTGTGTAGAACTCGCCTTCATCTCGTCAGGTGCCATCTCCGCCAAGGCACTGTGCACGTACACTGCGTAGAGGTGCTCGACCTCCCCCGCTGCACCCTCTTTAAGGGCCACAGTCAAGATATCCCCAATAGTGAGCAGCCTCGCTTTAGTGCAGCTACAAGGCCGAAACCCGCAAAACGAAGGGTTCTTGCCTGGAGCAGGGAATAAGACAGCGGCCGCAGCACCTCCGTGGTGCTGGCCAGGGAGCACTGAGCGGCCACGGCGCCTCGCGCCAGCTCCTCTGGCGACTTCCGCCAGTAGCCAGCAAAGGCGGCCGTGAAATTGGGCTCCGCCTTTCTGTGGCAAGAGTTCTGGAGAGAGAGAAACCTTTACGCTGCGCGCCCTGCGTGCTCCTGAGGCACGTGCCAACGCCGGTGGCGGCAGCAGAGGGTTGATGGCCACATAAACGAGTTTGCTGATCTCAGGGACGCTCCGCAGCTGGAATCCGATGAGGAGCTTGCAGCTTCGCTATGCTTCACTGAGGGCAAGGCTGTCATGCTCTCTGCACGGAGCATTTCGACCTCGTGCTTGCGAGGGATATCCCGCGAGACCGGGTCCTGGCTTGCCACGCGCCTGGGCCCCTGGCCACATCCCGACAGTTGCCGACGAGCGGAGAAACTGAAACACGCACAGATCCCCACCAGAAAACTTCTCCACAGCATTCGCCCACTCCCGTTTCATTCCCGAGCCTACCAGCACGTCCATGGGTTCTGGCGGTGCCACCACGCCGTCTCCTGGGCGTGGAGGAGGCTGACACATCCGTCGCCAGCGCCCCTTCAACAAAAGAACTTCGAGGCGTCGGCGCAGGGATTGGATCTCGAAAGGGGTCGGGTGCACGCGCTGCCCCTTCCACCTCCGCGGCTCGTACCTGCATAGAAAAGGCCAGCCAACAGGGCCCCATGCACCGCCGCCCGCGTCCGTCCTGGCCACAGTCTTATCCGCCCTGGCGGAGTCCATGTAGACGTAGCCGGCCCAGCCCTGCTCCTCAGACGCGCGACCCGAAGCTGCATGTAGCCCAGTGACACTAACATCCGCTACAGTAATCGCTGACCCCGAGCGCTCCTGCAGGCAGGCCGTCGGGTCGTAGAGCACCTCGCGCATCTTTCGCTCTCTCGCACGTCTGAGGGCTCCCTTCCTTCCGCTTTTGCCCGCTCCCATTGCCTCCGTCTGCGTGTGGCAGCGGGGCTCCGGCAAGTCCAGGGAGCGCACGGCCCTCGAAACGCAGCGCAGAACGCAGAACGGCACACGCAGATCCACACTACCCGACACACTGTTCGTCACTGGGCGTGCCAGAAGGTGTAGCTCAAGGAGGACCCCAGGCGCCCGCCAGAACCAAGGGCCTCGGCTTGGCTTGAACGGTCGTGTGTCCAAGCTGGAGGGGTGGGCTGTGAAAGGTTTGATCGGGCGCAGGCAGCGAGCCCCACAAAATCCCTGTCCAGTCCCGAGACCCTGAAATTCTTGGAAGCTCCCTGACGGAAGCCAGAAATGCAAAGTCTGCTTCACCGCTCGGAGCTCTGAACTCCGACCCTTCCACACTGGATGCAGCCTCCAGGAGCGTCGCTGCCCCGTGGCCGCGCCAGGCCCAGTAGCCTCGAGACATGAGAAAATGTTGGACAAGGCAAGTCTTTGCTCCGAAGTCCAAAGCCCGCCTGGAAACCAGACCCTCCCCCAATTGCTCCAGGCGGCCGGTGGAATCGGCCCACTTCCCACGCTCCGGCATCCAGCTCGCGTGACTCGAGGCCCTCGCGCAAAGCCGCGATCAGCAGCGATGGAAAATGACAACAAAGGCATCACACCGATGACCAAATTCATGACCAAGATCACTCTTCTACATGAGCACGGACCTACCCCACTACCACAAGACCATAACGACCGGCAGTGACAGCACCGTGGAGGCTAGCTACCACCCAAATGCTGAACAGGCTCAATCATGTGATACTTATTTCGCAGCCACTGCCGTTAAGACATCGAGTTCAGGCAGCAGGCGCGCACAGGGTGGTACTGCAAAAAAACGCGTTTAAGCATGAGCAACTTTACACGCCACTGCAGGGCTAGAGTCTAAGCGTCTGGAACCCGTATGTCATATGTCCTGGACCAAGAGCTGCAAGGGGTTCCAACCCTCCCAATCCATCTGATCTTAAACCTTAAAGCCCCTCCATCAGAGGGCTTGAGCACCCTAAGCCTGCAGCCTTTTTTATCGGCCTGGAGGTTTGGAGGCGGCTGCTGTTTTCAGCGGTGCAGAGCCGGGAGCTCCGCGAGAAGAGCAGCTCGGCTCGGTCAGGCCGGGCGTGGCCGATGGAGTTCATGAAGACCGGCCTTAGTGATGGAAGCTTCAACAGAGGGAGAGCTAGAGCAGCTACCAGCAGCTACCAGTAGAAGTCCATGCGGGCAGACTCGCAATTCGCAAGACGCCCTTGGATCGGCGGCCTGGAGCTGTCGGTGATGGGACAGGCCTGCGGCAGGGCCCTGCCAACCTCAGTCGAGTGCGCCGAGGGGCATCTCGTCGAACCATTGCGGCACGCGCTCCAGGAAGGCCAGGTGGGTCGGCACGTCGAAGGTCTGCTCCAGGCGCATCAGTTTGCGATACCGGAGAAACCTCCAGGCACCGAGCAAAACAAAAACTTTGCGGAACATGTCAACCTAATGAACGCACCGCGCATTCCGGTACGGTGTGAACCCAAACATCCCCCGTCCCAGGCGCATGCTGGAGGAGAGCTCGAGCGCCGAGGAGACATTCTGCTGCACAAAGGTCCTCGTCTGGTCTGCACCACTGGTGGGCTTGTCTTGAACTATCTTGAAGTTGCCAAGGAAAGACCGTGAGTTAAGGCCGTGGCCCAGGATGGGTCACGGGCCCAGTCAAAACAACCGCATCGATATGTCTTGCAACTAAGCATCAGGGATGCCACGAGCGCCGTGCACCAGGTCACCTCAGGACGGGATGACGTGAGATGCTTCGCAGTCTGAGTTCCGTCTTGGCCCGCCTTTGTGTCCCACGACATCTCCGTCTTTCGAGCCAGAGAGAAGGTGTCCTGTCTGCCATAGGGCAAGGCAGAATTGTCACGCCATTTTAGAAGCGCCCTCCCGACACCAGAACCCTCAGCATTTGCTACTTGAAACAAAAACACTCAGCCCGACATTCTATTACCGAAAACCTTCGGGGTTCGCTTCGAAGCTTCGCCAGCCTCCAGGAGCGCCAAGCGCCGGCCCTCGGGAACCTGCGCTGGACATGCGGCGACCCTTTCTCCCCTCCTGACATTTGGGCCTGGGCCGGTTTTAGGGTTTATAGGGTTCGGGGTCTGGGGTATTAGTGTCAAAAAGTGCTGGGGATGAGGAGGGCACAAGACGTGGAAGTAATTACGCCCTGAGCTTCCATTCTGATGTGATTCAACCTGCCACGACCTGTGGTTAAGATCCAAGGAGAAACCTGTCCGCCACAAGGCCTCCTTGAGGAAGTCTCGCAGGCCCCAGGCGTGGCTGTCGTAGGGTTCCTAGCTGTGGCTTCAAAGACGCCGCCCTGGTTTGGGTTGGGGACATCAAGGTTTCAGAATTGCTTTTTGTTGATCGATTTGTTCGCATCAAGAGTGCAGGCAGAGCCATGTCAGGGGAGGCCAGAACACTCTCGACGAACACGATCCACCACACCAAACTATAACACTGGATAAGGGGCTTCAAGATAGAGTTTGCTGTCAAAACATCAGCCTTAGTATGTAAGGGCGGGCCCGTAGCACGATTACCCGGTTCAGGGCTGTGGGCAGATGTTTGCCTGTGGGTTTAGGGCGTTGAAGGCTTCAGGGTCTACGGCTCTGTTTCGGGGACCGCTCGCCTCCTCTCCGAATCGCCGCACGCGGTCGTAGATATCTAGGAAAAGCCACAACCCATCGGCCAGACGGTCGAAGCGCTGTGTGAGCGGGTTCTCGTCAACCGATAGCTCCTCACCAATCTCGCCATGGAGCTACAGTTCCAACTTCATGATTGGTAATTTGCAAGATCGCACTAGCCCAAAGCCTCGAGGCCGGTCGTAACGGGATCTGCCAGCGTCGGCGGCTCAGGTCCGTCGGAGCGTCGCGCGCTCCGCTCCTTCAGCTCCGTCCGCCCCTGACTGCTCTCTTTGGAACAGCCATCCGCTGAACGGATCTGCAGCAGCTCTGCGGCCACCTGCGCTCTTCAGATCCGTTGCCGATTGCTCCCCTCGCTCCGTCCCTCCCTCAAATGTACCTGCCAGCGCAATGTGCGGCAAGTAAAGTCACTCACTGCTTGCGCATTTCTTCGGCCAGCAACCCGCTGCGCTTCCGAAATCTTGATACAGTGCACACTCTTCCTACCGCTGGTTCCCCACCAGCTTCGTCGTCGTTATCATCTTAGATCTTAGTAATGCATGGGTGGGTTTGAGGTAGCACTATGCGAAGCATAACGGAAGGCCTTGTAGCTGGTCTCAACCAGCCGGACTGCTGCGTCCACAAAATCCCAGACGCAGAACAGCAGGACCTGCTACAAAACATCACCACAATACATCGTCTCCAAGCCTACAGCACTGCCGGACGTTCGCTATGGCGGAAAGACTCAGAGTGGCCAACCTATATCATAGCACCAACGCCTTCTCTGTGATTGCCGTGACCAGGGACGAATCCAGAAGCTCGAGAAAGCCTTGCTGGCTTTGTGTGCTCTTGTCTGCCCTCTCACGAACCTTTCTGTCCTTTCCACGTTTTGTTTTCTCTAGCTCTCCACTCTCTCCGCCGCGCGTACTTTCCGGACACCTCGGCAAGTCTCAGCCTCCATCCACACATTCAGCATTCTGCATCGATGGCGGCGGCAATCGCAGCCGTGCAGTTCACGACAACGAGTACTGCCCCAGCAACACACACATGGCGCCAAGATGTGCAAAATGTGCCCAGCCAAAGAACATCAAAGCTCGCAACACCGGCAACGGTTGTGTGGTACCGTAACTCAGCAGAAACTTCCTGTCGAGGATCTCTGGATGAGTCTGGCGCTGAGCTCGCCCAGTGACATGGCCAGGGCCGTCATGGAGGTCAAGTCGGCCATGGCCAGCAGGGCAAGCGAAGACTGATGCTAGCGAATCAGGCTCTGCGGCGATGGACATGCAAAATCCGAAACTACGTCGTGTTGTTGTGCCACCGTTCTGTGCAACGGCCACAGTCACCCGCTCTGCCCCTGGATCGCGGACTCACCATGCCACTTTAATTCGAGCAAACGCTGCAACGGCCATTGCTCTGCCTCAGGCACGCAATCTTGGCGGGCAGGTGAACCAGCGTCTTGAGCCACGCTTTGAGGGTCACGTCTTTTGGTCACGCATTGGTCTTTGCTAGACAGACTTCTGCTGATGCTCTGCTTCTACGCAGCTTCGTCTGGCATGGTCATCAGTTCGCCACAGGACCTCGGCTTATGAATCAGCGTCTCGCATCATGAAGGCTGACCCTGTGAGGGTTGGTGGGTCTGGGCATGGCCTTGTGAGCTGATGGTGTTGAGAGGGCTCCAGGCTCAAGATACTGGCAAGAATTTGATGCTGCCGGTCTGGCTATCTGCGTTGTAACGAGCCCATTTTGTCGAAATGCACTTTACATGAGAGTTGCTGGTACGTCCTGCTGTGGGCGTTGTGCCAAGCTTGAGGAACAGAAACGACTGTCATCTGCGCAAAGGCTTTTGAGCAAGCCCCTCTTCAGCACGGCTGCCTGAGACTCTACATGTCTGTGCCAGACACACACAATGCAACATGCGTGCAAAGCGTGCAACTTTCCTATACTTGCACCGCATGGCAGCGCTGCCGCGCCCTCCTCCGCGAAGGGCTGAGAGTCTCTTTGAGGAGCCAGCTCCAAGGGGGTTTGTAGGTTCTGTTTTTCGACATCTCTGGGGCTTCGAGGGTTTAGCCTTGAAGCCTTTGGAGGTTTCCTATTCATTGGGCACTTTGCGTTTAAGTGGATCGAGCATCTAGCCCTTGAAGTTTGCAGTCTTGAGTCTAAGGACGCTCTCCTCTCGGACCCTCGAAGGCCTCGGGATGAAAAGTTGAGGGGGGATGACCTGCCATGGTCTCGGTAATATGTAAACCGACATGCTACATGCCCCGGGCAGAGTCGCTCTGCATGGAAACATGACCTTGAAGTTTAGGGCAGGCAAAGGACGACAGTAGTTCGAGTACAAGTAGTGTCGGTGAAGCTGTACATAGCGGTGCCGAGACCCCCGCTGAAAATGTAGTAGACTCGCTACACGAAAATTGGGTGGTCACCGCGTCGGCTGCCCATATTCGGGACACCCAGGAGCAAGACCCTCTCCTGGAGGGTGTCGTCCTGCGGGGTGTGGATCGGGAGATCGATGTACAGCCCGAACTGGGTCAGGTAGCTCCCGAAGGTAGGGCATCGGAGAACCTGTTCGAGGTAAATGACGCCGTCATATGTGATTTCCCATGGGGAATCGAAGGAAAAGGAAGAGTATGGGTGGTTGCCCGGAGGAAGCATCGCGACATTGTGTCCGCCCACCGGTGTCATCGCCTGCAAGTTCGGGGACATCATCGGAAAGTTGTCGAAGTGTCTCAAAGTCTGGAAGCCGAAAACGGGCTCGTGTGAGACCGGTGGATTGGAGCGAACATCGTCGATCGACGTCCTGCCCTTGTCAACAACCTGTGTGTCGAGCCACTGTACTCGGAATCTCTCGAGGCAAGACTGTCGTGGTGGCTGGGGTTGCACCGCGACTGGCACACTCGTGTATGGGCTCCGCAGTGATGTCGCGACCGTCGAGGAGGAGGCCGCACCAGACTGGGTCGTGTTCGGTGTAAGGACTTGTCTCGGGTCTGCTTGCGAGAGGTCCACCGCCGGGTGAACCGAGAACCTCGGCGGGACCACTTTGGGCATGGCCTTCGTCTTTGCCCCCACAATGGTCGTGGTAGTCGGCGTACCGAAGGCCGGGTTGATCCACTCGGAGTCGCTCGGGGGGTTAATCGCCGGAGCTGTGGCTTGGTCTGTCGACTGTGTCACCTGAGTACTCGTAGTCGCCGTAGTCGGAGGTGTCGACGGAGCTGCCGTCGGGGGTGTTGGAGGCTCCGTAGTGTCATCGTCCTCGTGCCAAGGATCCGGAGACACCGGTCGAGTCTGTTGTGCAGTAGTAGTTGGTGGAGCCGTCGGAGTTGGAGCCGGAGTAGAGGCGGCAATCTCGTCCGGAACTTCGACGATTATCGGTGTGTTGTCGAGCCATCGCTTGGCCGGTGATGGTGATCGTCGAGGGAATCTCGCCGGTGACAATGGTCGTTGTGAACCTCGAGCTGCTCCATCGCCGGGGCGGAAGGCAGCTCGGGTGGAGCGACCGAAGCTGGGGGCGTCGGAGTCGGTGTCCGTGCCCAACTGGAAGAATGGTCGCCGTGGTGTTGAGCTCGTCGGTGCTGTCGAAGGTGCAACCGATGGGGTCGCGGTCGAAGGAGCCGCCGACGGTGTAGCTGCCGGAGGGAATCGAGGTCCCGAGGTGGGAAAGATATTCCCTCGTGGTGGAGTCGGTGGTTGTCCCCATGTTGCTGGGGGTCGAGAGTCGTCGCGGTTTCGTCTGGAAGATCGTCCACGATGACTACCCTCCGCCATTTCTTGTCGGAGTCTGGCTGCGGCGTCCGACTTGTCCCATGCTTCGAAATCGTAGTACTTGGAGAAGTTGGTACCGAAGTTGAATTTGCGCATCTCGGTGTGACGGAACGTGGCCATCGTGTCCATGATCCAATCGTTCGCCGGTCCTCGGGTCACCTGCTCAAGGAAAGCACCTCGGGATGAGTAGTGGTAAGGAGGCTCGCCACGTCGTAGTTGTCGCTGCAGTACGACAGCTCGACGCATGGCATCGTCGAAGGTATGCCCGTGTTGGTTCCAACATGTATTGTGGTACTCGCAGCATCCCTGGAACCATTTGTGGCAGATTAGATTGGGCACCACCCATTTCTTGTTCAGGAAATCGGGGTGTAGGTGCACACAGTTGTGCATGTTGCAGTTCTTAGTCTCGAGGATTCGGGGGCAAATTTGTCGTTTGATCGCGGACAGAGGTACTCGGGCTTCATCGTGTACTCTTTCGGGGAACTCGTCGAGCATGGAACTCGGCACAGGTGCAGTGATATTCTGTGTCGAACCCTCACAGAGAAAGTCGAACCAAGAGTCGGATCGAGGCATTGCCATGGCTACGCGGTAGCTAATCCAAATCGATAGATGTCGTGTTAGAGGGCTTGAGGCGCCCTTCGAAGTTTCTCTTTCGAGCTGTAGAGGCAGCGGGTTCGGGATTATGAAGTTCCATGCCGAAATCATCACGAAAAATCTCTGCCAAATGCTGATTATGCAGATCGGTCTCATGTACCAGAAGAGCAGCGTCGATGTCCACTGGAAGGGGTACATGATCAGACTCGGGGTGTAGGGATGCCTCGACGACCTCGAACGGTACCGCGAGTGGTTCCGCGGAGTCGTCGCGGTTGGTAATGTGCAGGTACAAAAAGGCCTCGAGATTGGGCTGCTTCAACAGCGTCGCCGACAGATTGACAATGTCGTTGGCCGTCCGACACTGGGAGATCTGGTCGATGGCCTTTCGAATTTAAAGAAATTTCTTGGCATTCGGGGGTCCCAAAGTGATTCGGGGGCCCTGCCTTTAAGAGCCTCGCCAGAGCCATACAATGGGAAGAAACCCCACTTGTTTTGGTACATCACAGGGTGTTAGGCACTGACGGTCGAAGGGGGGTTGGCGCTTGTTATTCAATCAGAACTCCTTGACAAGCCATGATGTTGAATTTGAGTCATGTGACACGTCAATGACAAGTGCACCTGGGCGCCTACACACGTAATGCAGAAGACTTGGGCCAAAACACTTTGAGCCAACAACACAGTTTAAGGGTTGAGGGTTGATGTAAGTATTTAAGGTATCACGGCGCACACAACAAAAGTGCGACTTGAGCCCAAACACTTTGAGCCAACAACACTTTATAGTCTTAAGGGTTCATTTAGTGTTTCAGGTATCACGGCTCAAACAAATACAGTTCGACTTGAGCCCAAAAACTTTGAGCCAACAACACAGTTTAGGGTTGAGGGGTGGTTTAGTGTTTAAGGTATATCACGTACCACGGAGCTAGACTTAGAGTGAAATCAAACTTGAAACACAAATTGAGATAGTAGAAGGAAGCTTTGAACATGAAGCAAGGGAGAATAATAATTGCTGTCGTTTCGCACACAGGATAATAAGGCCAAGAGTTCAGGCGATTTCGCGTGTCAACCTGTCAGCATCGAATCGTCAGCTATATTCCCCAAAGGTATTATGTGGGGAAAACTATTCAATATAATAATAATAATAATATCTCAATCTATCTTTATCAAAGAAATCAGACTCAAAATTTATTTTATGATTTTAGCTTGTTTCCTGATTCACTCCGTCTCTCTGCCCTTGTAGACCTCGTTTCCCTCTCTATCTCTCTCTCTCTCTCTCGCTCTCTGCCGTGCCAGCATCAAACGTTCCAGGCTTCGACCAAAGGCACAGTGACATGTCAAGCACGGTTTGTGATCCACGAGTTTAGGCTGCAGTATGCTGCAGTCACGAAAGGAATCACATGTCACAGCAGCCGTCTGATCTACGAAGCTTCTTCACAGTTCACAGTCTTCTGCGAGCGGCATCTCTTCTTCACATTCTTCATCATAATCAACGTAGTCCGCTGCAACAGGATCTTCTTCATCTTCGGCAGGTTCCTCCTTGACTTCCTTGGCAGGTTTCTCCTTGACTTCCTTGTTGGCCGAGGATCCTGAGAATCAGAAGCTTATGGCCAAGTCAATACCAAGTCCACTGCAAGCTTAACCGCAGCCAAAATTCCGGAGTTGCCCATGGCAGCGATGAGCTCGCTCTTCAGCTTTGCCTTGGCATTGATTGGGTACTATACACTTTTATTTTAATTCACCACAACCCGGAGTGAGTCAAGCTGTCGAGGGGCAGCCAGCTCCTTCACTTCTTTCTCTTTCGTCGTTCCATCCACAAGGCCTTGATGGCAAATGTCCTCAGGCCGTGACAAAGTCCAACTTCAATATAATGCAGGA